TTTTCCTTTATCCCGTTCAAATGCGAGTTTATCGGTTACCAGAGTGTTCTAAATTGTCGTATAAGTGTCCCGACATTTTCGTTTCTCGTATTAGAGCCTTCAATAATTGTATATCGATCAAAGTATGAAAGCGCGACGCCATTGTGGTTCTAGTCCGAGCTAAAAAACTGTATATAAAAAACATGTAAAAAAATTGTTTTCAAAAATCCAAATTTTTGAAAGTGCCCGGATAATTCCTAGGTGCTCACAAGTTCTGTGTCAAACTTTCAGACAGTTCTATCCAAGATCCTTAAAAAAAGTGTCTTATTCGAAGTGAGAGGGGTTTCACTGCGCCTCAATACCATATTTTTCACCGTCTAGCCAAAGTCGCTTTCATCAGCAGTTGGAGAGTACGACGACTCCAGAATGTGAAATGGTCGTCAACAATGGCGGATACCTTTTCCCGGCCCCTTGCAGATCGTCGTATGTACGCCACGTTCATTCCTCGTGCACGCGTCAAACGATCGCGTCTGTGAAATCAGACAATGCCAGCCGTGGTACAGTTTCCACGGCACGAAGCCCGTTTCTCAAGATGCTATCGTCTCGGACGATGTTACAGGTTAGGTTGGCGCTCATTTTCCAAAATACCAGAGTGCTAGAGAGAAACTCCTCCCGTTGGGTATTGCATGCGCTCCAATCTTTTTCCTTCTCCTATTCCCCTTCTGAATTGAATTTCTCAGTAAATTTCTCCTTAAATGGCTTTCCTTCGGTACAAATAATGCAACGCGAACCCAGTGGCAACATTCTTCCACGACCGCAGCACTACTAGCGGTAGACTGCGGAATTACAAGATGACCTATCGACGCGACGTGCAACGGGCGGTGACTTATCGATGTTATGCGTTCCATGTACGTGCGTTTCGCCATCTTCTTGCAATCGGAAAAATTCCTTTGCCACTCAAAATGACTTCTAATAGTGGTGACTAACGCAAGTAATTACACCTCTACGATGCAGAGCTCGAAATTGATGTATCTATTTGCCCACACGAGTCGCCGGAAACCCTCTTTGAGTATGTAATAAAATGATACTGATTTCTTAAGGTGAAGTGAAACCCCCTTCAAATCAGTCAATTCGAATACACGTTTTTTTAAGGGTATTACACCAAACTGTCCGAAACTTTGACATATCACTCCTGATCATCTAAGAATTGTCCTGACACATTCGAAATTTGGATTTTTAACAAGAATTTTTTAACTCAGCCCAGACCAGAACCAAAATGGCGTCGAACTCTCATATTTCGATCAATATACAATTATCGAAGGCTCTGATATGAGAAACGAAAGGGTCGGGACAATTTTACGATAATTTAGAACACTCTGGTAATCGATAAACTCGCATTTGAACGGGATAAAGACAAAAAAAGGGTTTTATGAGCTTCTATGCTAAAACGATGGGAATACGAGGTCTCGGAGTGAAAATTAAATGGACCTGGAAATCACAGATGGCGCAGGGGGTCCCTCTGCAGTCAATTAGGGCCCCAGAAAGCAAGAATTCAGAGGATTTCTGGAGTTTTACTTCGATTTCTTTATATTTATTGTACGAAAACGATAGGTGGAGTATGCCATTTGGTACAATATCCAATTTAATTCGACACAGCTGTCGATATAAAAACGAAGATCGGCAACGTAAGCATTTAGAAAAATCTTCTTTACCGACGTCGATCAAGTACCTCGACGTGTTTCACTTCACCTTAAGGAATGCGTGTTACTCTAGATCATAATGCATAGGCGACAAAAGATGCACCAATGAAGTCTGCATTAGTACGCCATTTTCGGCATAATGCACGGAATTAGGTAAAATGGTCGAATGTACATTACGTAATGCAGACACGAAATCAGCTGGACTATAAAACAAGAGATAATGAATAATCTGTTTTATTATGTTATCATATGAAATTAGAAGATGACCTATCGACGCGGCATGCAACGGGCGGTGACTTATCGATGTTATGCATTCCATGTACGTGTGTTTCGCCATCTTCTTGCAATCGGAAAAATTCCTCTGCCACTCAAAATGACTTCTAATGGAAGAGGGAAATCCCGATTTTCCTTGAGGAAGTATCGGCGGTCGACGTCATGGAAACGTCCAATCATTGACATGCAGGTAAACTAGGATATTGCCCAATGTCCCTCCAATCGTTTCCATGAATGCTGCAGCGACGACTGCTTTATGCGTTCCTCAAACCCGATACCACGGTAGAACAATAAAATCTAACCAAAGGCTCGACTCTCGCAAGAATCGATCTAAACTAAGAGTTCTCGCAAACTACACTCGCAAGAAGTAATCTGAATTTTTCATAAAAAAAATAACCAACTCCCCCCAAGCACGCTATGTTACAGTTACATAACACTGGAATAACATGATATATAACGAATGTTATTCAAGAATCGATCAAAACTAAGAGTTCTCGTAAACTACACTCGCAAGAAGTAATCTGGATTTTTTATTAAAAAAAAATAACCAACTCCCCCCAAGCAGACTATGTTACAGTTACATAACACTGGAATAACATGATATATAACGAATGTTATTCAAAAGATACATTAATATCGTATAACGTCGAATTACTACCGTTCGGTAACATTGTTACAAACTCGTTAGCATTGCAGTTATATAATATTAACATAACATATAACATGTTACCGATATGTCATGTACACGTTACATTATTCGTTTTATAACAGGGTTATTTAGCTACAGAGGAAATAGTAATACAAATCTTACTTATATATTATGTGTATGTTACGTTACATGTTACAAACGTTATGTAACGGTTATATTATTGTTTCGTAACCGTGTTTGATGGGCTGTGACATCAAAAGTCTAGCAACCATCAATATTTTCCTCCGCTTTAATAAATGTCTTCTTAGTTTAACACCTCTTACTTTTTTTTTTTCGCACTGCTTCAGATACTACGCATCACGAGTGTAGTTCGTCATTATAAATATATATAATAAAATTCCGTGCTATTCTTTAATATTATTATAACGAGCGACATTTAGAATATTCCCTTATATATTTCGTATATGATTAGAAAGAGAACGGGAATTTAACCCCCTCACTTACAGTATCGTGTGAGAGATGTGGTATATCAAGCGGGCCAAACGTGAACAAAACGTGTGAGACACGTGGTATGTCAATCGGGCCAAATGTAAACAAAACGTATGAGAGACGTGTGAGACGTTGAACGTTCAGCCAAACCGTGAAGTGGCCCGATATATGACCGACATTTTTATTGTTTGTGGCACACGCTATTGAAATCTAACCTCTTCACCTGCAATATCGTGTAAGAGATGTGGTATATCAAGCGGGCCAAACGTGAACAAAACGTGTGAGACACGTGGTATGTCAATCGGGCCAAATGTAAACAAAACGTATGAGAGACGTGTGAGACGTTGAACGTTCAGCCAAACCGTGAAATGGCCCGATATATGACCGACATTTTTGTTGTTTGTGGCACACGCTATTGGAATTTAACCTCTTCCCCTGCAATACCGTGTGAGAGACGTAGTATGTCAATCGGACCAAACGTGAACAAAACGTGTGAGAGACGTGGTATCTCAATCGAGTCAAACATAAACAAAAAGTATGAGAGACGTGTGAGACTTTGGACGTTCAGCCAAACCGTGAAATGGCCCGATGTATGACCGACATTTTTGTTGTTTGTGGCACACACTATTGAAATTTAATCTCTTCACCTACAATAGGGTGTAAGAGATGTGGTATATCAATCGGGCCAAACGTGAACAAAACGTGTGAGAGACGTGGTATATCAATCGGGCCAAACGTAAACAAAACGTATGAGAGACGTGTGAGACTTTGGACGTTCAGCCAAACCGTGAAATGGCCCGATATGTGACCGACATTTTTGTTATTTTTAGCACGCGCTATTGGAATTTAAATCGTAAGGCAAGGGACTAAAGTACTTTAAAGTAAACTTTAGAATGGGGTAAAGTTGGATTCCCACAAAAGTCGAATTCTACTCCTTTTTTCGCCCCCGTTTCTTAGCGCAATCTTTCCATATCGCAATTCTATAACCTTTACGTGATTGACCGGATATCCGGGTATCCTTTTGCTTCCCTTTATGTCACTTTTTCATATTTCCCGAACAGATAATGAAAAACGTCACCATCTTTTATCTTGGGCTTCATTTTAACATTTTTATGCAATAAAACATTGATCTTAACCATTATCACTCCAAGAATATTAGAAGAGTATCAGCAGTTGGCAGTATTACTGCCGGTTGGAGTGATAAGGGTTAATTATCATATTTTAAAAACATTTAACGCACAATATAATTATTTAATAATCAAGTACCCCGGTACTATATTATAGGAAATGTATGGAAAATGTAGAAACATAACGTTTATTAATAAACGTTCTATGATAAATCGGTCCATCAAAAATTTCTGTGCAGATAGATGTTTAGTGTTGACGCATTTGCAAAACTCAGATGTCATGCACAGAAAGTAATAAGAAAGTCAAATGGGCCAATCAAATAGCACAAATAAAAGGTTTCGGTACCATATTATAGGTACCATATTATAGATACCATATTGTAGGAAATTTATGGAAAATGTAAAAATATAACGTTTATGAATGAACGTTCTGTGATAAATCGGTCCACCAAAAAATTCTGTGCAGATAGATGTTTAGTGTTGACGCATTTGCAAAATTCAGATGTCATGCACAGAAAGTAATAAGAAAGTCAAATGGATCAACTGGAGGAGCACCTAGAATACCTTCCTTGTAAAAGTAGGAAGATATATTTTAAGTAGAGTCCTTAGATTCATTGCAGATTATGCGTAATAGAAGGATTCAAAAATGCGGACGAAAGCATAAAAGATCTAATACCTTTGATACACAATATTTCTGCAACGAGTCTTCGGGTTATGAACAATGGAACAATTTCCGGTCACTGACGCAAAGGTCAATAGACACAATTAATTTAGTGTACTCACCCGGACGAACCGTGGATTGAAGTCATCGTCGTCAATGTCTCCGGATATGATAGGAACATTCATTGTCCATTCATTATATCACACTCCACGATATCACTTTCAGGAACTGGATCAGAAGGCACTCACAGAACTCGTAGAACTCACAGAACCCAACGTTGGCGCCGCTCGGGTTCAAGTGTCTGAGTGATTTGGAATTCCGACTCTCGACTGCTCTTAAGTTCCAGACTTGCTTTGGGCCGATCCCAGAAACGAGTTGCTGCGACCTGCAGATCGACCCAATTCACGAACGACTCATTCCTACGATTCGAATCCATTAAGGTGAAGTGAAACACGTCGAAGAACTTGATCAACGTCGATAAAGAAGATTTTTCTAAATGCCTACGTTGCCGACGTTCGTTTTTACATTGACAGCTGTATCGAATTATATTGGGTATTGTCCCAAATGACATACTCCACCTGTCGTTTTCGTATAATAATTATAAAGAAATCGAAGTAAAACTCCAGAAATCCTCTGGTTTCATGCTTTCTGGGGCCCTAATTGACTGCAGTGGTACCCCCTGCGCCATCTGTGATTTCCAGGCAATTAAATTTTCACTCCGAGACCTCGTATTCCCATCATTTTGGCATAGAAGCGCACACAACACTTTTTTTGCCTTTATCCCGTTCAAATGCGAGTTTATCGATTACCAGAGTGTTCTAAATTGTCGTAAAATTGTCCTGACCCTTTCGTTTCTTATNAAAACTGTATAAGAATATTGAATATATTAAAATATCCATACCTTCCTTCTGAGCATAACATCAAAATTAAAAATCTACTCTGTTCATATGTACACAATTTTGCAACGAACTTGTTTACCCTAACCTTAACACATTATCAATTATATTCCAAATGCTCTTTTTCTGGTTTCTACACTCCAAAAATCATTTAGTTGTAGTTGTTAAAAAAAAATTGTCAATCGATAATAGTAGATAGAATTATTGTTTATAGCTCCGAGAACGATTTTGTACTAAGTGAACAATTTAATAATAGAAACTATAGGCAATATAACTCATTAATTATAGTATCATGTACCATGGCTATTTTACAATAAAGATTACGTTTTAATAACGTTTTTATACCGGCGTCATTAAATTAACTTTGTATTTAATGCGATCTAGTTACTTTACAATTGCTGCTTGGTTATATCAACTTCCAGTTTGTATTGATCGTTATTGAAGTCTTTGTTCAATTTATTTTGACAGAACCGAAAGATGACGGGGCTTTCTCGCAAGTGCTGCCAATAGTTCGTTTCTATATTATCCGTTACTGTTTTTTACATTTAATACCTGTAATGCTCTTTTGCTTCATTGTGGTAAATGTCGACACTCCAGCTTTACATGAAGAAGAATACTCCACCAGGTATATTTTATGCCTACAATAATTATATGCGTAGTGTTCAAGATTTAGTTGACATAAATATTTTCTATCGCTTTACGGAAAAAGATGTTATTTACGGCAATTAAAAAAATGTCATTGACGTCGTGTTTCACTACAGAAAATAGTGGTTTTCTAATAACCACAATTAAAAAATCTTGTTATATACAATTCAAATTAATTAATTACATTTTTGTTCGTCGTAAAAAATCAAGCGTGTTCTTTCCGTTGTTTTAAAAAGTACTACATGGTTTTATCTGCCATCATTTCAATCAAGGAAATTAGCATTGAAGTAAATTAATTAAATAATTAAAACGCCTTCTTCACGGTAAAGCGATTCGAAAGTACACAAATGAATGATCATAGTATCCGAGTGAGTAAACATCATACCGCCATGCTCTTAATATAGTAGCCTATTTCCACCCACGTGGGAGTTTCAGGGCAACCGATGATGATACTTCAGGATAGACGGATTAAAAAAGTCCGATATTAACATAATTATGAAGATATTATCTAGTAAACTTCCCCCAAAAAAAATACATTTTTTAAGTTCTACCTCGGCACCTTGCACCATTCAGGTTATTAGTATGAACAAAAATGTTATTTTCGTGGAACTTTTTCAATAACCGATCTTACATATCGAGCATTTGGGTGTTAATTAGTCATAGTTAAGGCGATTTTGTGCGCCCATTACGTCGCGTGTGTAGGGAAAGTGGAATCTGCCGAGATTTGTTAAACGGTCCTTACTTTCACGTCACCTTAACCTCACTTAAATTCAATGACTAATACGAGACTGACGCTTCAAATGAGAATCGTAGGCTAAAATAAATTAAAGTGGCAAGAGTTTTCAACGCTTCTAACCCATTTTGCGGAGTTACTATTTACGGAAGTCCCGGCAAATCAAAAAAGAAAGTAGAGTTTCGAGCCAAATACATTTTTGAGCGAGAAACTCGTAGCGTTCAGCGATTGGATTAAGGTGAAATGAAACCCCCTTCAAATCAGTCGATTCGAATACATTTTTTTTTAAGGGTATTAGACCAAACTGTCCAAAACTTTGACACATCGCTCCTGATCATCTAAGAATTATCCTGACACATTTAAAATTCCGAATTTTGGAAAAAAAAATTTTAACAGCCCAGACCAGAACCAAAATGGTGTCGAGCTCTTATATTTCGATCAATATACAATTATCGAAGGCTCTGATATGAGAAACGAAAGGGTCAGGGCAATTTTACGACAATTTTGAACACTCTGGTAATCGATAAACTCGCATTTGAACGGGATAAAGGCAAAAAGAAGTGTTGTATGCGCTTCTATGCTGAAACGATTGGAATACAAGGTCTCGGAGTAAAAATTTAATTGACCTGGAAATCACAGATGGCGCAGGGTGTCCCTCTGCAGTCAATTAGGGCCCCGAAAAGCATGAAGCCAGAGGATTTCTGGAGTTTTACTTCGATTTCTTGATATTTATTGTACAAAAACGACAGGTGGAGTATGCCATTTGGTACAATACCCAATATAATTCGACACAGCTGTCAATATAAAAACGAACGTCGGCAACGTAGGCATTTATAGAAATCTTCTTTATCGACGTCGATCAACTTCCTCGACGTGTTTCACTTCGCCTTAACACTGTAACTCGTGCACGTTATTCGTTTCCTGCGCAGTCCCGAAACCGTACCGGATAATAATTCACAGAATATGTTGAATCATCGCGTACGTGTTCAGAAAACTCCTACGCCCAGCAAAAAGTAATGACCTTTCCAAACTTATGATTTTACCACCACAGCTAACGTCGAGGTTGCAGCCTAGTGGAAAGAAAACTCGAAGAAAAAGCCGCCACTTGCGAAACGCCCTCGTCACGAGTGTCCAGGTAGTGGACTCGATTAAACCGTCAAGGTGAGTAAACTTAATCACCTCGGGTGATAGTTGCGGACGCCAACCCTCCAGCGCACTTCCTCGCCATCACGAGAACCCGATTCGCACGAAAGCGAGCAAGCACGCACCCGAGTACACCGCAAATCCCGGAAGATTGCCCAACAGGTGGCGGAGGTAGAACAGGATGCAGAAGCCGCAAACGGAAAATGCCGTTTTCCCGAGTTGGTCGAGCGAGCGTCACTCGCGCTCCGAGCGCTCTCCACGAGCAGCTGCGACTAGCTGAACGGCGCTCTTTTCGTGGCTCTCGACCCGACCGCTCGTAATCGAGCCGGTGGTCAGTGGGTGAGTGTCAGTCACTGCGCGTCGGCCCAAAGTACGTTTAAACCGCCCCGGCCCGCGCACACCACTGCGCACCCTCCTGCGCGCACCGCCGTGTACACCACCACGCGACGGCGTCGCGTGACGCGCCGCAGCCCAGTCACCGATGAGGCCTCGTATACGAGGCAAGCAGCGCGTAGGTATGCGCGAGGTGCGCGCGCACGAGAGGCAAACCGAGAACGTCTGGAACGCTGCACAGAGGTCCAATGCGGATTTTTAAAGCAACAAAAATGTTTCATATGTTTTGTTAATTTGTATTTGGAGATTTTATATATATGAATTGGCATTTGCTACAGAAATACATATATACACATATATACATATATGAGCCGTTTATTTTGAAAATCCATTTTTCAATAAAATCGAGTTAGCTACCTTAATAGGTACATTTTTATATGATCTTTTCATTCTGAAGCAACTTGTTACTAATATATTTAAAATCATTAAGATTATGTAACACGAAAATTTGCTGGGTTAATGAAGTGATGAAAAAGTTTATTTTGAAAGTGGCGTAAGTCCCATTGTGAGAGTTTCAAATAGATATGGAAAATATTATGCAATAACCGTTTTATATCACAGCTTTATGTTTAATTATCAAAGTAGCAGTTGAATTATCAATGTGCAATGAATGTTATAAACAATTTAATTTCAAATTTCACTTTCGATCCGCTAACAGATTTATACGGGTCTCCGGATATGCCATTGTAATTTTCAGCAATTTGTTAATCATTTGTTTATGACGAATTAAACTGCAAAAAACTGTATAAGAATATTGAATATATTAAAATATCCCAAGAGTAAACTTGTGAATCTTTGAGTATGAATTTCAATGTAAAATTAAAAACTGTCGGTAAAAGAGTAAATTGGTTTAAAATATGTTGGATGAGATTTTTGAGATGCGATCCATATAAGTTATTCTACAGAACGACAACGAACGAATGTGCACCATTCAAAACATTGGATTTATCACCGCAACGAGGAAGACCGACAAACTTTAATAATATCAAGTTGGCACCACTATACAAAAAAACGACACCACTCACAAACCTAAGATACAAGGACTTAATGGATTTATTACATTATATACCACCTGCACCCCATAGTTATTTTAAATCCCTCCCGCGTACACAAACTGGAGAAGACTGAATAATAATTAATAAAACAATATTAATTTTAATGTAAAAATTATTTAACAAAGAATAAAAGTTGAATAGTATTTGATTTTATAACATAAAAGTGTATACATTTATTTTTATTTTCAGGAAAATTTACTTTTCCTATGGACTTGTGCTTTCTTAAGAATTGAAAACGTCATTTCATTGATTTTGAAAGTGGCGTAAATCCATTTATAGCCATCAAAAACATATTATTTCTTAAATAATGTTAATTGTGCCAATTGGGATGATAAATTTGACACCCTTAGAAACCCAAAAAAATTATTCTACTATGTTATCTGTTACCCATATTTTTAAATTTAATCGAACGCAAACCCTTCAATATCTCGATTCGAACATAAATGGACTTACGCCACTTTCAAAATAAAAGGCTCATATATTAAAAAAGTATACTATAATATTGTAATATTGATTTGCGCTAATAATATTTATCGAAACTTTATATTTATTTGTTCAATATAATTAACGTCATCGTCGGATGAATGTACGCTCCCTGAATTGTCACGTTCTTCCTTTTTTGAACCTATTTCGGGACATAACTTATTATAACTTGTGGTAGGTTGATTACGAACGGAATTAGTACTTAAGCAAACCTGCGTACATTAAAGTTCAGACTGAAACGTATGTAGACGGTAATATATGTAAAGAAACAAAAATCGGGACGATGCAGTGGGTACTTTTGGTGTTCCCCTTCAGCAAGTCTAGGGCACTATACATGTAATACGGTGGAGTATACCGTATTAATATACTACATTGTATTATATTGGAACGTCAAGAAATATATAAAAACTTCAAATGTACGATCATGAAATATGTGGAATTTTTGTAGCTATAACAATGCACTTTGGACCACTGTATGCCAAATGAAACCGAACGGAGCGTCGAACCAAGCTGGACCCTGCCGCCCGGTTTTATCCCCGTGACGTCACCACAAAGTGCAGCCCATAGGACAACCGGATGTGCGCGCGGCCGGCGCAGTCCGCGGCCAAGAGGCGACCGATCGTAACTGGCGAACCCCAAGAGTCGTACTCCGAGGATGCGACTTGTCCGCAGTTCGGAGTGGGAAGCGAGGGCGTCTCGCGAATACGTCGCCACGGCTCTCAATGATTATTTCGCAACGGACCCTCTGTTCGACCAGAAGCCGTTGGCGTTTCACCGGGAGCGTGTGACGTCACGGACGTTACACTTATAAGTGAACGAATTTCGGCCGCATCTTCTTCCGAGATCCGAAGTAATAAATTATAAAAATTAAGGTGATGTGAAACCCCTCTGAAAATCAGTCGAATCGAATTCAACACTTTTTTTTAAGGGTATTCGACCAAATTGTCCGAAACCTTCACACATCGTGATCATTTAAGAATTGTCCTGACACATTCAAAATTTGGATTTTTTAACAAAATTTTTTAACTTAGCCAAGACCAGAACTAAAATGGCGTTGAGCTCTCATATTTCGATCAATATACATTTATTGAAGGCCCTGATATGAGAAACGAAAGGGTCAGGACAATTTTACGACAATTCGGAACATTCTGATAATCGATAAACTCGCATTTGAATGGGATAAAGGCAAAAAAAGTGTTGTATGCGCTTCTATGCTAAAACGATGGGAATACAAGGTCTCGGAGGGAAAATTTAATTCACCTGGAAATCACAGATGGCGCAGGGGGTTCCTCTACAGTCAATTAGGGCCCCAGAAAGCACGAATTCAGAGGATTTCTGGAGTTTTACTTCGATTTCTTGATATTTATTGTACGAAAACGACAGGTAGAGTATGCCATTTAGTACAATACCCACTATGATTTGACACAGCTGTCAATATAAAAACGAACGTCGGCAACGTAGGTATTTAGAAAAATCTTCTTCATCGACGTCGATCAAGTTCCTCGACGTGTTTCACTTCACCTTAAGGGGTCTGTCCAAAAGTTGCATTTATCGTCGATTCGAAGTAGTGGGAATTAAAGTACCCTGCATTAAATATCGAAAGGGAAATTAAATTCGAGTTGTAGTGAAAAGGTAAAATATTTTGAATACGTTGCACACGCCTTGTACACAATACCGAACCGTTCTCGACGTGTCACTTCCGCGCTACTCGAGTATGTCACGCGATTCCACCACTGCGAATCGTAACTCCCGACTCGACGTAGAGATGGGCTATCCTGAATCGACTCTTCAAAGATCGATCTTTTCTAGTAGAAGAATCGGTTTATTGAATCGATTCTTTATTTGACGACATTTCTATGGATGGATTCTTTCCTAGCCGATTTTTCTATAGATTGATTCTTTCCTAGTCGATTTTTCTATGTATCGATTCTTTACTAGTCAATTTTTCTATGGATCGATTCTTTCCTACTCCATTTTTATATGGATTGATTCTTTACTAGTTGATTTTTCTATGGATCGATTCTTTCCTATTCCATTTTTCTGTAGATCGATTTTTTCCTAGTCGATTTTTCTATGGATCGATTCTTTTCTGGTTGATTATTCTATGAATCGATTCTTTCCTCGTCGATTTTTCTATGAATCGATTCGTTTCTGGTTGATTTTTCTGTGGATGGATTCTTTCCTAGTCGATTTTTCTATGGATCGATTCTTTCCTAGTCGATTTTTCTATGGATCGATTCTTTCCTACTCCATTTTTGTATCGATCGATTCTTTCCTAGTCGATTTTTCTATGGATCGATTCTTTCCTACTCCATTTTTCTATGGATCGATTCTTTACTCTAAAAAATCCAAGAACCGATTCTTTTATCATATGCGCGACCCACTGATATGAAGTAAACCGAAAAAAGGGATATCTAGATGTGCACTGCAAGCAAACTTTATAACAGTGGCGTGGCAGCAGTGCATAACTTGGTCAAATTTTTTTTTTTTCGTTCTGTTACACAATTTGATTGCATATGCAACGCGCGCAATGCGATTCAGCACGTGCTATATGTCCGAATCATCTGTTCGAAACGCATCGTACCTCTTTAGTCTCCCTCGTCGATATTTATTCAGTGCTAGATAGATAAATCTGACTTTGAGTACATCTCCACCATCGCGTTTTAGATAATACCGAACTAACTAGGTGGTGGAGACGCACCCGAAACGGTATTTAAACAATCCGATATTGAATAAATACCGACGGTGGAGACTTAATATTTTACTCTCACACACTATATTGAGGTGATATAAAAGGCGCCGAGAAATTCAATCGACGTCGATAAAATAAAATTCATCCATACCCTTCTAGGTGGTAACGCCATTTTGGATACCCAAATGGTAACCTAAGCTGATGCACCATGTTACCGACATTTGTATTTCTGTTGAAGTTTATTAAAATCTACGTTGAGAATTATACGAAATGAAACGTTCCGTATGCCATTTCGGTAGAATAATTATAAAGAGATCGAAGTAAAACTGTCGAAATCCCACAGATTCATGATTTTTTATACTAGAATGGACTAACGGCGCTATCTGTGACGTTCAGATGCAACTAAATGTTTGCTTTACAAAACACGCGTTACCCACTAGGCGAAATATCAACATTTAAGTATAGACAGTTTTGGACAGATTATGAATCAAAGTTGCGTGTGTCGTAATTAAAAACAATCTGCTTGAAAATTGTATTTTACAAAGTTGTACATGTATCTAAGTAAAAAAGGAGGTAAATTCGTATGCTCGAAATAAATCAGCGCCAGACTACCACTGGAAGTGTTCAAATCCATTTCTTACAAAAAAATCGATGTATTGTTACCAATAATCAGTATCAAATAGCAGTTGTAAAAAAAAAAGTTAAAAGCAATTTTAAATTCGGTTAATCTTCAATTTTTGCTTGCGTAGCAGTGTTAACTGGTTCCAAATTAAAATATTCAGTCCAGGCTTAATGCGAAGTGAAACACGTCGAGGAACTTAATCGATGTCGATAGAGAAAATTTTTCTAAATGCCTACGTTCCCGACCTTCGTTTTTATATTGACAGCTGGGTCGAATTATATTGGGGATTGTACCGAATGGCATACTCCACCTGTCGTTTTCGAACAATAATTGTAAAGAAATCGAAGTAAAACTCCAGCAATCCTCTGGATTCATGCTTCCTGGGGCCCTAATTGACTGCAGAGGGACCCCCTGCGCAATATGTGATTTCCAAGTTAATTAAACTTTCACTCCGAGACCTTGCATTCCCATCGTTTTAGCACAAAAGCGCATAAAACACTTTTTTTGCCTTTATCTCGTTCAAATGCGAGTTCATCGATTATCAGAGTGTTCTAAATTGTCGTAAAGTTGTCTTGACACTTTCGTTTTTCATATCAGAGCCTTTAATAATTGTGTATGGATCGAAATATGAGAGCTCGATGCCATTTTGGCTCTGGTCTGAACTAAGTTAAAAAATTTGTTACAAAAATCCAAATTTTGAATGTGTCAGGACAATTCTTAAATGATCACGAGTCATGTGTCAAAGTTTAGGTCAGTTTGGCTCAATACCCTTAAAAATAAAGTGTTGTATTCGAACTGACTGATTCGAAGAGGGTTTCACTTCACCTTAAATAGGATATTTTCGCGTGCAGGTTCTCCTTTTGGAGTCTGTTCACGCCTGGCAAACGTGAGCAGATCGATTTAGCCGGACCCGAATTAAAACCGTAATTAATAGGTTACAATAAAGGATTGCTCCAAATAAAAAATAAAAACGGTAAACGAATCGGTATATTAAATTAATTTTTTTCTTATCAAATAACGCCGTAACATTTTACAAACGAACATGATCCATTTTACAACGTCACGTTAATTGTTAGAAATCAAAAGATAGGAGAATTCTACATAATCAGTGATGCGTATACTGCTCCATTTACTTGCATCCTTTGCGGCGCCCGGTATTTCTTAACTAGCAGCACGGCTGAGAAAGGCCGGCTCTATTAAACCGCCATGTCGAGCAAAAAGGTCAATTGCGAGGGCGTGATAATTCGTTTTCAAACAATATGCCAAAAGTGATACATTTTTATAATAACCTTTTTTCTCGAACTTAAGTTTTACATTTTGTGCTAGAAAGAAAAATCGTAAGAATGCAGTGCGCAATTCCCTGAAAAGTATACCGTCTACGTTTTTGTAATCCCCTTTGAAACTTCTAGTAAGATAATGGCGTTTCACGTTAGACAGTCGCGTTTTCGTGGATGATCGATAAGTGTTTCCGAAGGATTCCCAACCGTATTCGGTGTAAGCCGTCGATTTTCGAAAAATGAATGCGGGGATGGAAATGGCACTAGAAGATATACCTACTTGAGAGCGGTACTACAGAGTACGTAATCATTTTGGTAAACAGAACATGGAGGTAATCTTTGTCGCGGAGTTATAACGCCTATGGTCGGTTCCACAGAACGTGGCCCCAGCATCGGGACCCAAGACTAGAGTTCGAAAATTCTCGGTAACATTATATTGGAGAAGGTAACTGTGAAACATACCGTAAGTTACCGGGAACATTGAGAATTTAAGAGAACGTTAATTTTGTTATTTATACTTTAGGTTTCTTCGTTTAAATAACTTTTTTTTTTCAATCAACTTTAAAGTTCAAGCTGAAGAGTAATAATTACTATTAGAAAATATTGATTATAGGGTCGTATTTACCTTCAGCTAAAAATATTCACGTATGTACAACTTCACGGAAAATTCAATGAGATTTGATCAAACGAACTGATATTTCATTCTGCGACGAAGCGAATGAGAGGTTTTGATTGGCTACGGACAACGTACAACGGAAATTCCCCTCTACGATGTTTCTCTATAGCTAATCGAAACATCTCGTTCGCTCTGTTGAAAAATGCAAATTCTCATAATTTCTCGATAAAAAAGGCTTTGGATAAATTACCGATAAATTACCGGGAATTTCTCATCGTTTCTGACGTAACTTACTGGATTTAGAACTCTACCCAAGACCTCAGATTTTCGCCGATCTAACGATGCGAGCGCTACTTGCGGAAAGTGAGGGAACTCCAATCCTACAGGACTAAACCTATATTACCTACCGATGTAAATGACATAAAATCCTTTTAATTTTGCAATTAACGGCGTTCACCGCCAGAGTGGGAACGATGACTTCCACCGCTAGATGGCACTAGCATCGAATTCAGTGCGAGGTAACCAAAACGTACTTTCTCGCTCGGATAAGGGAGACGCGACGTACAATGAGCGGTGTTTAGCAACGGGTTGAAGCTGTGTGCGTATTTTACACGTATAGGACTCACACAACGGCTAGACGCCTCTGGATTAAGCGCCGAAACGTGTGTGACACTCGACGCACGCACACGCCAGTTGGACGTTCCGCCTAGAGTCGGCAACGGTTGTTAAGGTGAAGTGAAACCCCCTTCAAATCAGTCGATTCGAATACAACACTTTTTTTTAAGGGTCTTAGACCAAACTGTCCGAAACTTTGATACATCACTCCTGATCATCTAAGAATTGTCCTGACACATTCAAAATTTGGATTTTTGCAACAAATTTTTTAACAGCCCAGACCAGAGCCAAAATGGCGTCGAGCTCTCATATATCGATCCATACACAATTATTAAAGGCTCTGATATGAAAAACGAAAGTGTCAAGACAACTTTACGACAATTTAGAACACTCTGATAATCGATGAACTCGTATTTGAACGAGATAAAGGCAAAAAAAAAGTGTTTTATGCGCTTTTGTGCTAAAACGATGGGAATGCAAGGTCTCGGAGTGAAAGTTTAATTAACTTGGAAATCACAGATTGCGCAGGGGGTCCCTCTGTAGTCAACTAGTGAGTGAGTTTGTGAGTAAAAGTGTAAATCAAGAAGAGTTTGTAGTTTCTTACTATAATAAGTGTAATAATTATTCTATAGATCGCATTTAATCCATGAAACTAATTATAACAAAAATTAAATTTGTATAGAATTTGTATAACGAAAAATATTTATACATTCATAATAATTAATATTTTTATCTTGATAAATAGTTTACTTTTTAACTAATGTTTAATGTAATTATTTCAGTTCTTATAATGATTTAAAACAGGCGTTGCGCCACTGACACTTTTGTTACTTCTTTTATGTTTAATATACTGTTTTCTTACATTTGTGTGTGTATCAGTTTAAGCAACGTCTATTTTAAATATTACAAGTACTTTTTAAATCCCGAAAATATCCCTTCGTTTAATAAATAAATTTGAATAGCCCGCCAAATAATTTAGTTCGCGTTAAAGGTTTACTCCAACCGAAGATGGCGGTAGTGCATAAGCGTACACCCCAATACATGGCAGTGTCACCCCGCTCTTTGAGTTTCTTGCATCTCCTTGCGTATATTTTTACGTCCATGGGTTGTACTCGAGTTTTAAAGCAACAGAAGGCAAACGCAGAATTTAATTGGCCACTTTGTACAGTGAAACATCTTTATAAATATGCTCAGTTTACGCGACAAACAAATAAGTACGTTTTATATAATAAACAATGATAACCAACCGGTTTGTTATGACACATATGTTTGCAAAATTATGTATTTTTCCATGCATTTCCACTAAATGTAATAAATAATTGAAAATTTAATCGTAGCAATTTCTATATTTAAGACATGCTAAGTGCTTTTAGAAACTGCCGACTCATGACGTATTGCAGTTTGTAATAACGTATATCCTCTAACTAATTTTACTTTCGCATCATGATGAATATCTCCATTTGGCATTTTCAGATGCTCTGAAGCAGATGTTGAATTTAAATGAAACAATTGCAAAAGTTGACGCAGCGGTACCTTCATGGAAAATATTAATTTATGATCGGATGGGCCAAGATATCATATCGCCACTTATTTCTGTGAAAGAGTTACGGGATTTGGGTATCACACTTCATATGTATGTTTTAAATTGACCACAAATTATTTACATGTTTTGGCTTCAATTTTGCAAGCGTGATAAACAATATATATTTGCTATTCAGGCAATTACATTCTGATAGAGATTCTATACCTGAAGTACCAGCGATATATTTCTGTGCACCTTCGGAAGAAAATTTAATTCGTATAGGTCAAGATCTTCAAAATGGACTTTATGATATATATCACTTAAATTTTATATCGCCTATTACTAGGCAAAAAATGGAAGATTTGGCAGCCTCTGCATTACTTGCAGGTGCGGTTACCAATATTCATAAGGTAATCTTACTACTTTTTAAATAAACTTACAATAGCAACAATTCATCAATCCTAATAGATTAAATGATATAATCAGTATCAGAATAGTTATTCTAACAGGCTCTTTTCCTTAATTATAGGTTTTTGATCAGTATCTTAACTTCATTACACTTGAAGATGATTTATTTATTCTTAGACATCAGAATAGTGACGTTATTTCATATCATGGTTAGTACAATAATTTATTCATATGTAATTAATCAACATGATAAATATTTTGTTATGGATTTATGATATGATTTACACAGCGATTAATCGAGGGGAAATAAGAGATACCGAAATGGAATCTATAATGGATATTATTGTTGACAGTCTTTTCTCAGTATTCGTTACATTTGGTTCAGTGCCGATCATTCGATGCCCTAAAGGAAATGCTGCGGAAATGGTAGCAAAGAAACTAGATAAGAAATTAAGAGAGAATGTCTGGGATGCCAGAAATAATTTATTTCAAGGAGAAATATCGGGATCTGGTCATTTCAGGTAACTAGTTACACAAGAATATTCTATAGGCACACATAAGCTATTAAAATTGGATTACTTAAAATTATGCGATTGTTTTTAGTTTTCAGAGACCTTTATTGATAATATTGGATCGAAATGTGGATATGGCAACGCCGTTGCATCATACATGGACTTATCAAGCACTAGCTCATGACGTGTTGGAGTTAACATTGAACAGGTTAGTAGTAGAAGAAAGTGTTAGAAGATCACCTGCCGGTGGAGCACGTTCAAAAACACGTGCCTGTGAATTGGACAACAGAGATCGCTTTTGGTCTCAGCATAAAGGAAGCCCTTTTCCTTTGGTGGCGGAAGCAATCCAAGAAGAATTGGAACAATATCGTACATACGAAGAAGAAGTGAAGAAACTTAAATCAACTATGGTAATCATGTTACTAAAAAGATTGAAATAATTACTTACGTAGCCTTTGACTATAATTTTCAAGATCAAAAGTAACAAATTTTAGTATCGTAGAATGTTGATTCTGTACTGGTGAAATGTATCGATTGCATTATAGGGTATTGACAGTGACAGTGATGCGGCATTTTCGATGGTATCAAACAATACAGCCCGCCTTACAAGTGCTATAAATTCTTTGCCACAACTGCTGCAGATGAAACGTTTAATTGACATGCATACCACGATAGCAACAGGTATGACATAGTCTTTCTTTATGTTTAATTATCTTTGATTCTCTTTATTTGCACCGGTTTATTCTAATTTGAGTATTATTCAAATTTCTCATTACAGGCATTCTTAATTCTATCAAATCAAGACGACTTGATACGTTCTTTGAAATAGAAGAGAAAATTATTAGCAAACAGTCATTGGACAGAAGTATATTAGATATAATAAATGATCCGGATAGTGGCACTCCTGATGACAAATTACGTCTTTTCATCATCTATTACCTGTGCTCGAATATATCGGACGTAAGTTCCCTCAAAAGTACAATGAGAAAATCAGTGATTTATCATATTTGTGAATGTACATCCATTCACATTGTTAATCAGTATTAATGTATTATTTCATCACCAGTCTGAATACAGTAAGCATGAAGCTGCTCTAGCTAATGCTGGGTGCGATTTAAATCCGTTAATATACATCAAGAGATGGAGGTGAGCATATGCCTATATCTTTCTTAAACGTTTAAGGTGAAGTGAAATACCCCTCAAACCAGTCGAATCGAATAAGACACTATTTTTGAAGGGTATTGGACGGAACTGTTGAAACTTCGGCACATGACTCGTAAGCATCTCAGGATTGTCCTGACACTTACAAAATTTGAATTTTCGAAAAAAATTTGTTTAACTTAGCCTAGACCAGAGCCAAAATGGAGTCGAACTCTCATATTTCGATCGATATCCAATTATTGAAGGCTCTAATACGAGAAACGAAAGCGTCAGGACATTTGTACGACAATTTAGAACACTCTGGTAATCGAGAAACTCGCATTTAAACGGAATAAAGGCAAAAAAGAGTGTCTTATGCGCTTCTAAGTTAAAACGATGGGAATATATAATGGGAGACTGTCTTGGAGTAAAAATTTAATTGACCTGGAAATCACAGATGGCGCAGGGGGTTCCTCTGCAGTCAATTAGGGCCCCAGAAAGCGTGAATCCAGGGGATTTTGTGCAGTTTTACTTCGATTTCTTTATAATTATTGTTTGAAAACCACAGGTGGAGTATGTTATTTAGTTCAATACCCAATATAACTGAACACAGCTGTCAATATAAAAACGAACGTCGGCAACGTAGGCATTTAAAAAAACCTGCTTTACCGGCGTCGATCAAGTTCTTCTATGTGTTTCACTTCACCTTAAGTAAAGGTACCTTTATTATATTCAATTAATTCTAAGCCGTGACTAAAGTTATAAATAATACAACTCTTATGCTTTGAATAGAAGCTACACAAGAATAGCTGGAATTCAAAGTAACTACGAAGGTGGAGGTACAAAAACTGTTAGTATGTTCTCCAAGCTCATGACCCAAGGATCTTCTTTTGTAATGGAGGGAGTAAAGAATCTTGTTGTCAAAAGACATGTGAGTAAAACAAGATATAGAAATTTAAAAACGTATGAGGCCCAGATATAAAGTTATGTTTCAATTCAAATAAATCGTCAATGAATTATCAACAGAATCTTCCTGTTACAAAAATCGTCGACGAATTAATAGAAATGAAGCAATCACCACAGACGGAAGATTATCATTACTTAGATCCGAAACAACTCAAACCCGTGGAACAGGTTCCAAAAACTAAAACGACATTCCAGGAAGTTATCGTATTCCTCGTTGGCGGTGGCAATTACATAGAGTACCAGAACCTAGTGGATTATGTAAAAGTGAGCTATTTTCTATACGTTACACAGCAATGACATAAATTATGTCCAGACACGTGTACAAAAATTAACTTCTAACTGTCCTATTGGTTTTTATTTTTCCAGCAAAAGAACGGAAGCGGCAATAATAAACGAATCGTATATGGTTGTTCAACCCTAATTAATGCGAGACAATTCCTTAAACAGCTATCTCTTCTAGGCCAGGAGGCCCACTGATGGATTTCCAAAAATATTCCCAATACAGTAGTGAAATATATTATTTTGTACAAAAGTACTGTCATTCTTATGTACGCTTATTTGTATTTTTTGTCAACAATTCCTATCTACAATTGACTAAGCAATTATTGCATTTTATAACACATCTTCGGTAAATTAGTTTCCTACCATCAACTTCTTTGGATCCTTTATTAGAGATGTTTTATAACTAGTTTAACATCACAAGTCATATTTAAAAGTATTCATCAGAACAATTCGAAAATACATAAGTTCGCTAAGAAAAGATACGATGTAACAGTAGTTAGTCTCGAACGGTTTTATCATCGTATGAAAGATTCGTTATAGACGTCTCGGGAGCTGAATTGAAAAACTTTTGCTTACAGAAAAATAAACCTATCATAGCATGCGCATTACGCTCTTTAAGAACACTAACTTACAATGACCCGAAGGAAATAAAATCTTTTTATAATCATTCACTTGCGCTCTCGTCCCGTTAAGATGAAGTGAAACCCCCTTCAAATCGGTCGATTCGAATACAACACTTTTTTTTAAGGGTCTTAGACCAAACTGTCCGAAACTTTGGCACGTCACTCCTGATCATCTAAGAATTGTCCTGACGTATTCAAAATTAGGATTTTTAGAAAAAAATTTTTAACTTAGCCCAGACCAAAACCAAAATGTCGAGCTATCATATTTCGATCAATATACAATTATCGAAGGCTCTGATATGAGAAACGAAAGGGTCAGGACAATTTTACGACAATTTAAAACACTCTGGTAATCGATAAACTCGCATTTGAACGGGATAATGGCAAAAAAGTGTTGTATGCGCTTCTATGCTAAAACGATGGGAATACGAGGTCTCGGAGGGAAAATTTAATTGACCTGGAACTCACAGATGGCGCAGGGTGTCTCTATGCAATCAATTAGGGCCCCAGAAAGCATGAATCCAGAGGATTTCTGGAGTTTTACTTCGCTTTCTTTATAATTATTGTACAAAAACGACAGGTGGAGTATGCCATTTGGTACAATACCCAATATAATTCGACCCAGCTGTCGATATAAAAACGAACGTTGGCAACGTAGGCATTTAGAAAAATCTTCTTTATCGACGTCGATCAAGTTCCTCGACGTGTTTCATTTTACCTCAAAGCATCGTAATCAATAATCCTAGTCATATTCGATCTGCTATGAGGAAAAATGAATCTTTCGCAATCTGTAGAATTTTTCAGTGTGACCTTAATTAATATCTATCAAGGCGTACCAGTAAAATGCCTTTCCCTGACTTAAGAAGAAACGCTCATATAGATCCTTGGGGCTCGAAAAGCAACATTAAACGCGCGAAAGAAGCCACACGAGATATACTAGAGACTATTAGTTTCAGCGCTTTTCCACGAAGGCTTTGGACGACTTGGAGCACGCGGAAGCGAAATTATCGATTCGAAAGCGTGACAGGGTTCGGGCATGCGCCAGTTCCATCAGGTCCACAAACAGCCATGATTTGCCGAGTTTTACGTTTCCTTTTGAATTTTCTTACGATTTTCTACTGTGTAAGATGCGAGATCCTCTCGAGGAAAAATGAGAGACGTCTCGGAAGTAGCATGCAGCTCTGCATCGAGAATTTCGACATCCACAAGGACAAGATCATCAAGACTGAGGATTCGCGCGAGCTGGGAGCTAAGTATCTCAACGAGCAGGATGTCAAATCGAGAGACGATTGCCTGAGGTTCTGCTGTGAGACCGACCACTGCGACGTTTTCATATTTGAGGAAAAGGTGTGCTAAAGATTCTTCTACGCTTCGTGGCATCAGCTTCTAAGGTCATCGATAATGCACTAGATTTAGGGAAACGAACCCTCGTGGGAGAATTTACTATATCGTTTCTTGTACACAATATCGAATGCTGCATTTGTTTCTTTTTCCTTTTAGATAATTAGTGTCAATGTGACGAGACGTAGTTACTTTCTTCCTGTGTTATTAATGAAAGATCTACGGTAATTTCCGAAATGAATTTACGCGTTTGAAGGTAAATTCCTATTTTTTTTTTATTAAATGATAATTCAACGAAATCGGGAACTTTTACGTAAAATGGATCTTATGGATGTTTTTTTGAGGTTTGGCTTTAGTTTTACACGTGCTTCGCTTTGTCTTCAGTTAAATGGCAATTCAAACGGGTTACTTCACAGACAGAACAAATATATAGCACAGAGGTTCGTAGAATATTCTTTGAAAATATTTCAATATTAATAGGATATGGATTTATGTCCTATGTACGTTTTTTGAACATAGGGCGAATGTAGTTTTGCTCAGTCTTTTATATTCGAAATATATTTAACGAAATATTGTATGAACATGGAATTAATACTTCTTACACATAAGAAGTAGCATGTCATATACATATCTGAATGATATTTTTTGCCACGCAAATAAAAATACAAAAGGTTCATGTTTCGGTATTATATTTTTAAATTAGGGTTAACATTTGGTGAGATAAAATATTGAAACATTGAAACATAAGCACCTACTTTTACAAAAAATAAAGCACTTACCCAGGGAATATAAATTTAAAGTATTGGCGCACGTATGTGTATTCAAAATAAAGTAATAGTATATTATTATTATCGCACGAAATATTTAGCATGTTTTGATTTTTTTTAAATATGGGTGTATGTGAAAATGTATAAAATAATTGTTAACTTTAGTATTTCAATGTTATGTTACAAACCTTTTCTAACACTTGTAGCATTTGTAGAATAGTATTCCATATTTCAAATGACATTGCTAAACCAATATTGTATATATATAAAACATGAAATATTTAAACTATATCTGGGAAACATTATCATATTTCTACTTAAAATATCATTCCAATGTCGAATATACACGAGGAATATTTTCCAACTTCTTTTCTATATTCTATGAATATTTTATGCTTTCTGGGTTGTATAAATCATATACAGAAATTAATCCATTCTTAATATTCGCCCTTTAATATTTTCCCTAGAGGCCTGGAAGCTGCTATTTGTTCCATTGTGGGCCGCCGGACGATTTTAAATGCAAATTTACAAACCATGATAACTACAGCAGTGCTCTCCTGACTGTTAATTTGAACGCATTAAATACCGCGCGGCTCGAAGAACAGATACAAAGGACCCGGCAAGAACACGAGCTTGAATCCCTCAGGTAAATCACTTCTTTCTTTTCAAAACCCGATTTGTCTTGTAACATTCTGAATGCATATACCAAAAAAGTACTTGATTTTCTTTAATGGGTCACTGTATAAATTCCAAATTGCGATTCTCTTCCACGTTTTCATGTACTCTTAACTCTTCCAGAAAGTCACGTATACTGCTAATGAAAACATCTTTTCACAGAAAACTTGCGGATTCTGCTCCAGTAGAATATTCATTTTCAGAGCTCCCTGCGACGATGATGACGCAAACCCCGAAGGCACCTACACTTACTACCCCTCTACCCACAAAATCAAGTAAGTATCTGCCACGGAGCGAAAAATGTTGTTATAATTACTACAATTGGGATAGGTATAACAGCAATCGCTGGAAAATATAAGGACAGCAGTTCTACGAAATAATGATTACTCTGCTAAAAATGGCAAATGTACACTTTCATTGTAGTAGGGATTTTTCCCGGGTTTCCCCTAGAAAGGGCTTACACGGAGAAAAAAAAATTGTTATAATTACTACAATTGGGATAGATATAACAGCAATCGCTGGGAAATATAAGGACAGCAGTTCTACGAAGTAATGATTACTCTGCTAAAAATGGCAAATGTACACTTTCATTGTAGTAGGGATTTTTCCCGGGTTTCCCCTAGAAAGGGCTTACACGGAGAAAAAAAAATTGTTATAATTACTACAATTGGGATAGATATAACAGCAATCGCTGGGAAATATAAGGACAGCAGTTCTACAAAGTAATGATTACTCTGCTAAAAATGTCAAATGTACAATTTCATTGTAGTACACATTATTACAAAGAATGATTACAGTTACAACGATACGACAGTTATATTTACAATCGTGACCGCATAAACTCGCCAACTGAAGCAATAGTTACCATAACGTGTGTATGTGATAACGTTTGCTAGTGTACCCTTTACTGTTGATACATGTAGAAAGTAATATGCGGCAACGCATTTATTACCGTTGGGGTAGCTAGAAAATACAATAGCGACGTGTGTACATTACAGTCAGCTCATGTAAAAACTACCGTTGACAAACGTACATATATGTTGCCGTTGCTGCATGTAAAAAGTATCATTGTAAACGGTATCCTTTCCTGTCGGGAACTCGGGAAATCACTACAGATATAATACATCGAAAACGGTAAATATTTGTTTTATGTAAAGCTTACCTTGGAACGATTGTTGTAGGTTTTCTAACCTCTACTCCTGAAGTTCATTTTTTACAAAGTCATCCATGTAGTCCCTTAATCAAACTGTTACAATGAATTGAAAAAGTTAAACTCGATCTTAAATTAGATCGAAAACCGAATTTCGAAGAGGACCGAATGATGCGGCTACCGAAATCACAATGAATCTAACAGTTCGCAGGACTGCACAACTAATGCATGACACGACCTGAATGCTTCTCGCGCTGCGTCTTAAACGCACAAATAGGAACAATAAAAGTTCACGCCTGTAAAAATTACTAGTGCTACGGTATATTATACGGTTTTCAACGGAGTTCTTGTTTTTAAAATTTACAACTGCGATGGTCATTTTTACCCGTACCTTTATACGTGTAATTTTTACTTTCCAATGCTATATATGTAACGCTGTCAGATGCAAATATAACTACAATTTATTTACAAGAATTCTGCAGTTAGTGCTCCAGCCGCAATAGTTAAAAGAACAAAAAATTGTAATTACATCTACAATAACTGTTTTAAGGTGACACCAATACTTTGACCCGCAAGCATATGTAATGATTACAATATTATTTTTCTGCGTGTATCTTTCGTACCCCACCACAGCGCCGATTAGATCTAGATACTCCAAATGAACACTGATTTACTATCCATTAAGCTTTCACATTATTAGTATTTATTTTATATTATTTGGTCGTTAAACCTAAACAATGCTTACCTAAAGAAGCATTAAGGAATAATAATTAAATGACATGCGAGAACAAATATTTTCTTACTTTTTGCGATATTTTACCATAATTTTATCACTTCCAGAATGTAGCCGTAATCAATACGAATGTCGCACTTCCGGAGATTGTATCGCAATATACAATGCTTGCGACGGCATTCCGCAATGTCCGGATGGTTCGGACGAAGCTGCAGATCTTGGATGTCCTACCGAGAAACCGACGGTCCCTCCTGCCTCACCAGTCCATCAACCGTATATTTTAGTACCTTCTGATGTACCAAAACATCAACAAGTAATGCATCGTAAGCCTTATGCCCCTGTGAACATCCGCGGTCAAGAAAGGGATCAAGAATCGTGGCAGGCGTCAGCTCCCAATCGGCCATCAATCTCACAGCAAAACCTACAATATCCGGTTCAACAAGTCGCGATTCCTCAGCAGCCCGTTAGTTTCGGTTCTCAAGGATATCCATGGGAGTTTCAGCCATTATATGATCAAAACAAAGAAGTCTACGGGAATCCGATCGGTTCATATCGAGGGCCTAATGGTCTACCCCCATACGAGCGTAAGTAAACCAATTTAATATTCTCAATTTATCAATATTCTTGTTAAACCGGTGTAATACCAAGATCTTGTTAAGGTGAAATGAAGTCCTCCTCAAGTCAGATCGATCCGAATATGATCTTTTTTTTAAGGCTGTTGGATACAACTGTCCGAAACTTTGACGCACGCTTAGTGAGCACCAGGAATTATCCTGACACTTTCAAAATTTGGATTTTTGAAAACCATTTTTTTAACGTAGCTCAGACCAGAACCAAAATGGCGTCGAGCTCTCACATTTCAATCGATATACAATTATTGAATGCTCTAATATGAGAAACGAAAGTGTCAGGACAGTTGTACGACAATTTAGAACACTCTGATAATCTAGAAACTCGCATTTCAAGTGGATACAGGCAAAAAAGTGTCTTATGCGCTACTATACTAAAACGATGGTAATACGAGGTCTCGTAGTGAAAATTTAGTTAACATGGAAATCACAGATAGCGGAAGGTGTCCCTCTGCAGTCAATTGGGGCCTCAGAAACCATGGGTCCAGGGGATTTCTGGAGTTTTACTTCGATTTCCTAATAATTATTGTACGAAAAGGACAGATGGAGTATTTAATACAATACTCGATATAATTCGACACAGCTGTCAATATAAAAACGAACGTCGGGAACGTAGGTATTTAGAAAAACCTTTTTTCTCGACGACGATAAATTTGTATATTGTATATTATTGGAAATGGGATTTGAGAATAATACACTTTTATTGTATTTAATTTAACAAAGACTTTATTCTTTCTATAACGCTCAGAGGACCCATCTTTACTTCTTCAATCACTCTAGCGAACTAACTACAAAGGGCAACTGCTGATCTTGGTCAGCACCAGTGATGACTAAATTCTTTCTCTGGACCCTCTTTGTGGAGGTGCGACTCTGCGTCGCCTCTTAATCCAAACAACGGTTCTTATCGTTTCTGAAAACCCTCCACTAAACATGGGCCAGACTCTCTCTCTTTCTCTATACATATTAAACATAAATTGGTTTTTGTTTCATTTATAAACCTCAATCTTCAGGTTTATAATTCCAACATATATTGTACTAAATGGCATACTCCATATGTCGTTTTCATACAATAATTATAAATAAATCGCAGTAAAACTCCAGTAATTCTCTGGATTCATGCTTTTTGGGGCCCTAATTGCCTGCAGAGGGACCCCCTGCGCCATCTGTGATTTCCAGGTCAATTAAATTTTTTACTCCGAGACCTCGTATTCCCATCGTTTTTAACATAGAAGCGCATAAAACACATGTTTTACTTTCATCCCGTTCAAAGGCGAGTTTATCGATTACCAGAGTGTTCTAAATTGTCGTAACATTTTCCTGACCCTTTCGTTTCTCATATCAGAGCCTTCAATAATTGCATATCGATCGAAATATGTGAGCTCGACGCCCTTTTGGTTCTGGTCTAGGTTGAGTGAAAACATTTTTTTTGAAAAACTCCAAACTTTGAATGTGTCAGGACAATTCTTTGATGACCACGAGTCACGTGTCAAAGTTTCGGACAGTTTGGTCCAATACCCTTAAAAAAGCGTTGTATTCGAATCGACTGGTTTGAGGGGGGTGTCACTTCATCTTAAGTGTTCAGTAAACTCACGAATTGTACAATACTGTTGAAGAGAGTGGAATACAAGTAAGCTTTTTCTTTTCTGCAAATATAACTAGTAGTTGTGTTTCAGAAGAACAACCAAGTATATTCAGTCATAAGGGTGCAAGTATCGTAGGCAAGCCTTTACCGGAAGGGTATGTGAATTAACGGAGTCATTCAATTAAAAGATTAACAGAATACAGAGAGTGCGTAAATATTGTATTACAGAGTCAACGGATATATAGATTCGGGTCGTCAGTATCATCCATTTTACTCACCACCGAACCACGAAACATGGCAAGAAGGTCAGCTTCAGTCTGTACCTTCAGTTACACCTAAAGTGCAACACAATCAACGCATAGTTGCCCAGGAAAAGGATGCTACAACTTCACCTCCTCCTTGTAAAGTCAGTACACTTTAAATGTGTTAATATATACACGCATGCAATATTAAGTGACAAATACATCCATTGTGGATTAATATTTTTTAGCCGCCGGCCAAAGAACTGGAATCTTTACCAAGAAATGAAGGTGACAAAAAGAATATTAAAAATTCAAAAGGGGACAGTGTCAAGATAGATACTTTAAGCAATAAAGCAGTTGCTACTAAGAACGAACGCCAAAAAGAAAGTCATCCCAAGGTTACCGAACCACACGGTATTTATCGACAAATTGATGAAAAGCACTAAAATATATAGTAAAACTGGAATGCTCGCCAGCGAGGTTTGGTGTAAGCTGACCTTGAAGTTGTCTCCACTACTCAGAGTGCGGTTTTGTTACAAATTTTGCACTACCACTGCAGTAATTCAATTCTGAACGATGATAACTTTTCTATCGAACGGTGCGAACGATGCACCCACATTACTTAACGAACAGAGGTATAGTTTCTTTGACAGTGGAACAGTGATGAAGAGCCACCCACCGTTTTTCTTTCTCGCGCAAATGCTTCCCGAATTTTGCTTTCAAAGGATACGGATGTGACCAGTACTATATCTCTCTTTCTCTCTCTCTTTGGAATAAGCTTGACAAGTGGCAAGCGTTCCAGTTTTATTATACAGGATGTCTCACAAGGAAACATTCCTAACTGTCCGCCCCCGATCTTATTGATTTTCATACATGTTGAACAACACAAAAATCTAAGAGACACGTGTTTTTTTATATCTGCAATGGTCCGCATTTAAAGGGTGAAACAACCCCCCAAAGTTTGGCAAAAATTCGATTTGTATAATCATTTTCATAGAAGCAATGGAGGGATTTCGACGAAACTTGGTATAAACGTATTCCGTATAAGGACGGTGAAAACACAATATTGTCCAGTAATGCTACAACCCCCCAAGGGGGTGAACTACCCTTCAGGCGACATTTTTTTGTAATATCTACTATTAAATAAGCACTCCTACTTAAGCTCCACTTACGCCATATGATTGCTCACAAAAAAATGAAGAAATACGTGTTTTTTGCTTTTTACCAATAAACATTTACACATCGGTTTTAAACAATGAATGTAGGTGGTATACGGGTATATTTCGATTAACTACATTGGGTTATATCGTGACCAATTCATTGTACATAAATCTTGTGAACGTGCTAATTCCTCAAAATGTCGTTGGTTTTCATAACATGCAATTATTTATAAATAAATTTAAAATAAAGTTTGAGACTAAAATAGTTTCGCAACAGATCCGATAACGCAGTCATCACCCATTTCCAACTAGTAATACAATCTCCTTGGTGAAACGGTAAAATTGGATTTTTACTGTTTTTACGAAAATAGAATTAGCGATATTCGTTCACCCCCTTGGGGGGGTGTAGCATTGCTGGACAATATTGTGTTTTCACCGTCCTTATACAGAATACGTTTATACCAAGTTTTGTCGAAATCCCTCCACTGCTCCTACGAAAATTATTATAAAAATTGAATTATCACCAAACTTTAGGGGGTTGTTTCGCCCCTTAAATGTAGACCATTGCAGATATAAAAAAATACGTGTCTCTTAGATTTTTGTGTTCTTCAACATATGTGAAAATCAATAAGATCAAGGGCGGACACTTGGGAATGTTTCCTTGTCAAACCTCGCGATCAAGAAATACGTGACGGTAATCTCTATTTAATTCTGATAAAGAATATCCAACGCAAACTTGAGTTCGAATTGTAGTTTCAAAACCGCAGTAGTTTAATGTTGACCAATCACAAAGCAGGTTTAGTCGCTGAGCAGTTCCAGTCATAGACATATGTATAATATGGTCCATAGAGCTTTTAGACATGAGGTTTGTTTGCGTTGACTGCACTTTCTACCCTGGAGTGTAACGAGGGTACTACACTTTGCATGAAAAGTGCAGAAGGGTAGATACACTTTCGTCGATGTCCCGAACGCCAGAAACCTCACGAAAGTCCAAGATGACCAATTTAGTAGAGCGGTACGCGATTTTGAGGTTATCCGTATCGGACGATGGTGAATACGAAAATGTAATGCTTCTTCCAGCCATCCTTTTTGAGCTGTCTTCGTTTTCTTCAAATCCTACAATTAGTTCTATTACCTTGTAATTGTAGAAGATGAAAATTCCTTTCACGAATTTCAGGTATTGAGGATCAATAAGAGTCAGAATATTATTACAGGAGAATGAAAAACAATTTAACTACACAGTGAAAAATTATAGTTTAGTTAATTTCAACCGCGGTTAGGTAGTAATACATAATTATTGTAAATTGTTTCAAATATTATGCACAAAACTAAAACGCTAAATCGTTCTATACATGAAGAAGATGCATTAATAATTACTTCTATTTATATTACGTTGAGACGTTAGCATAAATTTTGTATTTTCCTGTTTGTTGGTCTTTTCAATTTTGAAATTTGCCGCCAAATTCGCGGGCTACCCTTATTGCTCTCGCTCGGGATCGAGGGTAGAAAGTGTAGAGAAAGTGTACACTCGGTGAATATGCACTCGCAAAACGAACAGCGACGTTGCGTCACTTCCGTCGAAACGAACGCCAAAGTGTACACTTTTCGTAAAAGTGTAGAAAGTGTAGGCAAAACGAACGAACCTATGGAGAGGCCATTTGCTATAGTATCTGTATAGAGTTAGATGTCACGAGGAGGTTTGACAGAGAAAAGGACCTTCTCACTCTAAGTATTACCGAAAGTGAGCTGCGCCCGCATTAGTAGGCTTTTGATACACGAAATTTAAGGTGAAGTTGAAACCCCCTTCAAATCAGTCGATCGAATATCGAATACAACACTTTTTTTTTAGGGGTATTAGACCAAACTGTCCGAAACTTTGACACGTCACTCCTGATCATCCAAGAATTGTCCTGACGCATTCAAAATTTGGATTTTTGGAACAAATTTTTTAACTTAGCCCAGACCAGAACCAAAATGGCGTCGAGCTCTCTTATTTCGATCAATATACAATTATCGAAAGCTCTGATATGAGAAACGAAAGGGTCAGGACAATTTTACGACAATTTAAAACACTCTGGTAATCGATAAACTCGCATTTGAACGGGATAAAGGCAAAAAAGTGTTGTATGCGCTTCTATGCTAAATCGATGGGAATACGAGGTCTCGGAGTGAAAATTTAATTGATCTGGAAATTACAGATGGCGCAGGGGGTCTCTCTGCAGTCAATTAGGGCCACAGAAAGCATGAATCCAGAAGATTTCTGGAGTTTTACTTCGATTTCTTGATATTTAGTGTACAAAAACGACAGGTGAAGTATGTCATTTGGTACAATACCCAATATAATTCGACACAACTGTCAATATAAAAACGAACGTCGGCAACGTAGGCATTTATAAAAATCTTCTTCATCGACGTCGATCGAGTTCCTCGACGTGTTTCACTTCACCTTAAACTACTGTAATTTCAAAACTCCAATTCGGATTGAAGGTTGCGTTGGATATTCTTTTTCAGAATTAAATTCAGATTAACGTCACGTATTTCTTGTTCGTGAAGTCTGGAATACCGTATATATTTCAGTGAGAAAAAATCGTTCTCACTATTTTCTTTAGTGACTTTGACAAATTGTGTGACATTTATTTTCAGAGCATGAAAATCACTCGGAAATTTCGGAGGATTACCCAAAAGTTATCGAAAAGCCTCATATAGTAGCCGAGCACCTTCGGCAAAAAGGTGGAGATAATAAACTCATGCGCCCTACAGGGGCCATAATATCTTTGGCTCTAGGGCTCACAGCAACTGCAATAATGGCTGCCTTAATAGCGTGTCGGTTACGAGTAGTTCGTCGTCGAGGCCGGCGAGGTCATGGACCGTATGCACACGACGCTGATTATTTAGTTAATGGAATGTATCTTTAAATAAAATTCAAACGTTATAAGGATTGTTCTTCACAGATACACTTTCTACACTTTCGTGAAAAGTATAAACTATGAAGTTCTCTTTACCGGAAGCGATGTAAGACATCGTTGCTCTCTTTGAAAGTGTAACTACACTAAGTGTAGTATGGTGTACATTTCCTTACACTTAATTCTGAGCAAGAGTAAAAACTGTACGCTTGAATTTACCTGACTTGGAAAGCTGAGCGAGGACAGAAATTGTCTTATATCAAAGCGCAAAAGCAAAAAAAAGCAATTGTCATTGGAGGAGTCAAATAAAAGTTTCAAAATATTTGCAATTAGTTTCCTTCAGTTATTTTCGGAATCCATTATGACGTGATGATCCAGTATGAAGTGCCAAAGTAAGAGAAAATTGTTTAACCAGCCACGGAATTAATAAATGTATATTACGTACATATATATTGTTTCATTCTCTGAAAGACATTTGCTACTAATTCACGCTCAACCGCCATTTTGTTTTTACCCTTAGCGTTCTTCTTACGAAGCGTACACTTTTTTCCACTCTCAAAAGATGAGCTGCCCTCTGTTACATTCGCTTTAAACTCACTATACTAAAGTGTAGAAAATGTAGCTAAGAAAGAACAACCTATATTTTCACGAAAGTCCAATCAAACTCCGGGTCAAATCGAAGTCTTCACATTTTATTATTGCAGTTAATTACCACACCAATGCTTAAGTAAACGCGTTGCTAATATAACCACAGTATTTTTAATAAAATACTTTAACAGATGACATGCGTAGTTTTTTATTAAGTGAACTATTACTACATTTACGACATTGTTCTTCTGTGAAATTAAACTTCTTATTCTATCCGCAAAACTGAAATGAATATGTATTAAAAAAAGAATATTATTTTAGAGAATCTCAATCATGAAATTGACTAAAAGCTTTACTTGTGTAAACCAAAGTTTATAGGTATGATTGTATGTGTGTATAACATGACTTTATATGAAATGTGTGAAGAAAAATATTTTCCAAAACATTAACCCTAGGTTTGATCTTTACCCATACTCAATGTACACACGCTAGTTCGTGCGTGGTATGTACATGGACTGCTCCCAATCAAGGTTGGGTAAGTATAATACGTCAAGTAATATACGTGGTTTTCTACACGTATATTCATCTCTGCCAAATCAGAGATGAGTTGAGAGATTCACGGGAAGGATCGAGCGACCGCGTCCTGTTCGACCTCCGGTGGAGGATGCAGACGGCTAACGCACTTGCCACAAGTTACAAATCTGGGCAGCCGGAGAACCGGCTGAAAAAGTGAAGAACTCCTCACAAAAACTCCAAAACCCTGTACCTCCTCCGAAAAAAATCGCAGCCACTAGCTCGAGA